TATTTTCAAATCACTGGGTACTCACTATTCACTGTATCTATTTTCTCAGGCACTGGCAAACCACTTCTGAAAACACCTTGCCTTGAAAACTGCAAGGACTCATCCAAGCAGTCACCGTGGAGTTGGTAACGACTGAGTGCGGATAAAAAAAAAAAAAAAAAAAGGGAATTGGAATACTGGAAAGCAAAGTTCGGAGGTATTGTACCGTCTTCATAAGAAGAAAAATTGAATTCTGAGAAAATAGATACAGTGAATAGTGAGTACCCAGTGATTTGAAAATATGCCCCGAGAAAGAGAGAGAGAGAGAGAGAGATGAATGAGCTGGGTTGGTTGGGAGCATCCAGGAGGAGAGTGGGTGGGAGGGAGCAAATTCACCGATGTTTGTCCCTCTTAAAGGAGACATATTTCCTTCTTGTCTCCCTTGATCCATTGCAGTGCCTCCTCTGTTGACATGGATGTTCCATTTGGCTCAGCTCTGCTGAACAGAATAACGAGAAAGACTTGAATGCAATAAAAGCCCCTATAAATTACCATCTTACATTTGTCCCATGATGGTTGCCATCAACACATATCCAAGTATATGAAAGAGTGGCTCTTTTTTCAAATTAGTTGTTTATTGCTTCTACTGGTTACATATAAGTCATTCTATTGTGCTATTTTCAGTAACCCTGATATCCTGACTCCTGAGAGGAGAAACATAACATTTTAGCAGGGGCATTGGTTCCGATGTAAATTTTTTTTTCTTGTAATTCATTTTGGAGGATGACAGAATCTGATGACACACTCATGCTTGGGGATAAGAATGCTGAACCGAGCCAATTAGCACTTTCTATCGATGTCAGGTTTTGTCTTCTGTAAAATAAATTAGGAAGAGACACGGCTTAAAATGCACAGTGAACACCCAATCACACTCCCCCAGCAAAGCCTCCCTGGGGGTGTGCATCTCTCTTTCATGCTTGTGTAAGTGACATAGCACTAGTGCACAGGCAGTAAATGTGAGTAGCCATTTAGTATCAATTGGTCCTCTAGTATCAAATTCATACTGCTGATAAAGATCTAGTAAAATGTATGAAAACCAGTTTTCAGTCAAGGGCACTTTGTGCTCAACTTCCCACTGTGAAAGAGAACTCTTCTGTGCCTTTCACAATAATTGGATTTAAAAGGGGATGTCTTTTTGTATTGAATAGCTTTGACCTTTGCAGAAGGATGATTGAAGGTATGTGTCTTTTGTAGAACTTTGCTCCTAAAATTAATGCCAGTTAAGCCTTATTGAGACTCTTTTGTTATTGTTTATTACTATATGATTTGCACTCTGCATGCCATTGTTGAATTGAAAATCCAGTCAAAAGATGAAACTTGAAGAACATTTGGCCAAGGGAAGACCAGCTGTCAGCTGGAGAAGGAACAGCTGCAGGGAACATACTTTGATCCTTCCTATGAAAAGGAAGAGAAGCAAAGATGCTCTCAAATGAGTTAGACTCCTGGGGACAATATCTATGCTGTTGTCTTGTATGTAGAAGTGGTTTGCCATTACTTCCTTTTGGAGTGCTTTTTTGAATTCCCAGTCTAGTTTACAGGAGGATAACTCGGCCACCATGGCCTGGTCTCATGCTGATATTCCGCAGCACATGGAATCTCTGTCTCTGCATATGGAGCTTGCACTTATCTAGGAAGATTTCATCTTCATCTTTCATCTTGCCTCTGAATGTTCCTTGATTAGGCTTGGAAGCTAAATATGGTTGGGTCTAGTTAGTACTTAGATTGGATGATCTATACGGAATCCTGAAAGTAGGTGGTGGTAAACCATGTCTTTAATGCTGCCAAGAAAACTTTGTGGACATGTCTACAAAGTCCCCGGGGGCAGATCTCAGCTTGAAGGACACTTTATCTATCACCCTGGATTAATATCTGCTGTTAGCCCTCTCTTTGGGAAATTTGTTGAGGCCTGTTTTAAAATCTTCTAAGCCAGTAGCCACATCTTCCATTAGTAAACTTTTGGGTGTAGAAATAAAGAACGAGTGCTAATTAGTTTTCCTGACTGATTCCTGCAGGAAGTCACCAGAGGAAGCCCCATTCTCTCACTGCATTTTCTCCATAGCATATGGAGTTTTGAAAGATGGAGGAGGCATGGAGAAAGTAGCAGTGATGGCAGTGTCACATTAAAGATGTACAGGAAAACAAGCTGTATCTCTTACTGCAACCTTTGTGGTTGTGACGTTAATACAAATTATTATATCTGTATTTATTTTAAAACATTGACATTGACATTGACATTGACATTGAAGCCATCATAATCTTCTCCTCTAGGTTGCCTTGACTATAATCTTCTGTGGAAGGGTAAATAACTGATTTTAAACTCTAGACTTAATGGGCTTAATGGTTGGTTGGAGGGGTGTCTTTAGATAGTAAGGTGCATTATTTCACTTACTTTAAAATGTGGAAAGATAGCCCTGATTTTCTCCAGAGTGAGCACTAAACTCCTATTCACAATTTCTTCTTGATGGCGTAACTGTTTTTTCTGTATTCTTTAATAATTTGAATAGGGGTTTTTTTTAGCAAGAGTTTTTCCTTTATCTAGATCTGGGAAAAAAATCATGTAGAAAGACATGAATTAAAGTCAGATCTTCTTTATCCTCTTAGATACTTCTTTTAGCTCCATGACAAACACTTCTGATGTCCATCCATCTTGGCGTGGTTAGAATAAATCGTTTTGTCTATCTTAAGCAGACTTTTCTAACCTAGAGCCCTCCAGGTGTGTAAATTTACAACTCCCAGAATCCTCAGTCAAGGTTGCAAATTTAGAATTGTCCAACCCAATTGGGAAAGACCATGTTAGGGGAAAGTTGACTGAGGCTCATTTATGTTTTATACATAACAGTGCTGTATCATCAGGGTGTGGGAAGTATGAGAAATGGGCAACTTGAAATATTACAAATTGATGCACTTCCTCTTAAGTTTTATTGTGTCTCTTGTGTAAAAGAAAGTGTATCTTCAGTACAGAACATCAGGTGCTAGCATTTAGAATTAAGCTCTCCTCCCCATATTTGATCATTGCTCTGAAAGAGCAGATGGATAATTCATGTTGGGAAGAAATTCTGTCTTGTCCAAAGCTATGTGCACCTGGGTACCCATCAGCAGCGGAACAACGTTTTGTCCTGAATAATCACTCTCTGAGATCGCTGAGATGGTAGAGGACATGCCAAAGCTGGTGAGAAATACAAATAGAGTTATTTAGATTCTTAGGAGTATTTTGCAAATGAAGTAACCCCCAGTTTTAACCCTCTTCCCCCAGCTACATAACTAGAGCCTTGATTTTATCTTTCCTTCATGGTCATGGTGTTACTGTTGGCTTCTGGAAGAAAATACCACTGGACAAACATAAAAAGGTAGATCATTCCAAAGTGGCACTAAAAGTACTTGGATCTGACACCACTGAAGAATGGCATGTTTTGTGCAAGTTATATTTATAAATGTGAAAGAAAGGGCTATCTGTTTTCTTAAAGCATGGCACTCCATCCATGCCGATCACTATGTAGACAGGGAAGCAAAATGTTATTTTTTAGTTGTACATTTGTCTGGAACAGAAAGAATACCAAGTTCTCTATTGAATTAGATTGTATGTACTTAACAGTCAGAAAACTGGTACCATTTAGCTGAAAATGAGTAATCACATCATTGTCTGTGTCTCAGCTAACCTATATGTGAGGTGATCCTTGTAGCACAAGAAAACATATCTTGTTTTGTTCTCTTTGCAAGAGAAAATGGCATAAAAATATTGAAATAAACAAAGTAAATAGGATATTAGGTGCTTGCTGTTTCCTTTTTTTTCCTTCCAGGTACCATGTAAGACTTCCATTCTTCTGCTGCTAATTGGACAGGAATAAGGCCATCTACTTTATTTGTAACCTTTTCTTCAGAACAACTAGTAATGCATGATGGTCTCCCCCATGTTGACAAAACTTGACCGGCTTTAGTTTGGAGATGAAATCCCACCAGGTACTTCTTGTATTTGCCCCTAATCTCTTTGATTGATTGATTGATTGATTGATTGATTATGTGCCATCAAGTCATTTTCGACTCTTAGCAACCACGTAGATAGATCTTCTGCATGATGATCTGTCTCTAATCTGGTCTTTCAGGTCTTCCAATGGTGCCTCCATCAACATTGTAACTGAGTCCATCCACCTTGCTGCTGGTTGTCCTCTTCTTCTCTTTCCTTCCACCTTTCCCAGCATTAGAGCTTCTCTAGAGAGATAGGTCTTTGCACAATGTATCTGAAGTAGGATAATTTGAGCCTGGTCATTTGTGCCTTAAGTGAGAACTCTGCGTTGATTTGTTTGATGATTCATTGGTTTGTTTTCTTGGGTGTCCATGGTACTCTCAGGAGCCTTTTCCAACACAAAAGCTCAAAAGCATCAGTACTCTTCATATCCTGCTTCTTCAAAGTCCAACCTTTCCTTCCCTAGAGTGTCACAGGGGACTTTTAGTCCATGGTCAATTGACAACTTACAGTCTGGAATGTTCCAAAAACAATAATTGGAACAGAATTAGAGAAAACAAAATTAGTAAGCCTTATTTTTGCATTTATCCCATAAATTCAGTGAACAATTCCGTCATCCTGGTAGCAACTATGAGTTGTAATCAGTAAACACCTGAGTTATGATGCTCTTTGAGCAGTTGGAACAACATGGACTTGTTCCCAAAATAATCTGTTCCAATTGCCCTGTTACACTAAACCCCACTCCTGTCCTAATTCAGGACAGCCACCTCTTTTTTCTCTTCCCCTCCCCTTTCTTTCCCCATCCCCCTCTATTAGATATGGAGATGAAAGTTTGGTTTTACTAGCCTGCATCTTTCTAAGAATAGCTTCCCACTCAAACCTTATCAGGCACAAGCTTGTTCAAGGGAGCTGCCAGGCTTCTTTGCAAAATCCACTTTAAATCTCTCTTATGGTTTTGTTTCTCAGATCACATTACTTAAAAGCTGTGGCATCCTGGGGGCAAAGACATTCAGGGAGATGGATTGAAAGTCTATAGAGAGAGACTGGGAAGACACTCGCCCACACAACGGCTAGAACAGAGGGACAGGCTGGGCTGCCTTGTTTCCAACCGTCAGCTGAGGGTTAACCCAGTGAAGAGCTTTTGAGCAGTGAAGGTTGTTCTTGGCAGTGAAAGGTGAATGGCTTACTGGATGTTAGAGAACAGTTCGCTCTTCCAAGCACCACCAGCAGCAAGCAGCTTCAGTTTATTCATTAGAGGATCTGCCTACAGACAGCAAGCTCTCTGCCCTCCACGGATCTCCTTTTCCTCACCCAGATGGGAATCCTTTGCTCTCTAGTAGTGCCTGGGAATTAACTCCAGGGAGGATACTGCTGGAAGAGTTTCCTGTTAGCATTGTTTGACAGGATTTCCCCAGATTGTCTGGATTAATGAGTGCCTTTCTCAGCTGCTCCAGGTAAGTCTCCCAGCATGATTATAAGCTTCTGGGGTAGCAGCCCAAGGGCCCACTTGCCAACCCGGTGTAACACCACTGAACATAGTGGGAATTTTCAAACTGGAGAGGTTGGAATTGGCTTATACTTTTCTCCCTGGCTGGGAAGCCAGGTATATAACTTTTTTTTTTTTAACCTGAGACAATGTGAGGATCATTTTGATAAGAATTTATTGTACAGTTTCCACATGGTCTCCACATGGGAATTTAAGCACTTTCTTTGATATTTCTCCCTGCTTGGAACATCAGTGATACTGAAAAGAACAGCAAAGCTATTAACGTGGCTTATTGAAAAGATTGCGTGGAAGGAAGTTGACTCTGATATAGGAGGTAGGCAATAGTTGTGTAGCAAAGAAGCATATCAAAGAAATTGGGTTTTCATCTAAAGGTCTCACAAAGCAAACATATTAGTCTTTGATGTTATCTGAGTGTGGCAGAACATTTCCTCCCACTAATGTCCTGACTTGAGAAACCAAGCTTTCCATACCTTAATTTGAGATATAAACACACACACACACACATACACACACACACACTGAATTGCTGGCGGAGTTCATATTTTCTGTTTGTGCAGTCATTGGTTGCTTTTGAACTATTACATTCAGAATAAGACATGATACTTTTGGTTAGGAAACTCAGATCTTCCAGTCACAGTGTCCATATAAAGAAATCAATATATATTCCATGTGTAGATGCAAATGCTGTGTAGCTTATATATGACAACAAAGAATTTGGACTAAATATGGACTTCTGAGAATGTCAGGCTGTTGTTGTTTTCCTTTAATGCTTTGCAAACGTGGACAAAAATGGTCAAAATAGGGAACTTAACACTTGTAGCTTCCTTTTGCCAATGCAAAATGGTTCTACTTTTCATCCTCTACCAGCTTTGATAGAGCTATATTTCAGGACCTGTAACTGGCTGTTGAATTCAGAAATGGTTCTTAATTTGCTTTCCCTTCTCCTCAGTTAATTTCTCCCTTTTCCCCAATTATTTTCCAAATTTAGCAGCGTACTGCCCTTTAATACCTTAATATAACCAGTCTCTGTGAATATGATAGGTCTTCTGGTTTCGAGAACTAAACCCACCTTGTTAAATAACATTGGTCCTTTTTTATCTGTGTTAAAAACAAAAACACTCTGCCTCCTTCTACAGAAAGCTGATTTCTCCTACATACTGAAGTTCCATTTTCCCTATTATCATCATTAGTTGTCAGGGCAGCCTGTTCCCAGCTGCTAAAAGTTCAGCTGGGGCATACAATGATGATTAGCATGCAAGCTAGCAAAAGCATTAGAAGGGAAGAATGGTTGCATCACAACAGAGCAGAAATTGCCTACGGGCACTCAGGTCCAGCTCTTTATCCCAATGGCTTGAGAGGTTGCTGCAGATGGGGCATCATCCGGTCTTTCCCCCTCCCGCTTGAAAATAGAGTACACACTATTCTTTCATGTTCTTTCATGTCCTCCTGTTGTTTCTGACGATGAGCCTAGAGTGACTCAGGAAGAGAAGAGGAGCCATGAGTTGGTAATCATTGTTCAGTTAAAATAGATAGGGCTGAGTCAATAGTCTCTGCTTGACACTGTTGCTCCTTTTGGTTGGAAACAAAAACTGATGTGTTGAGTTGTGAGTAGGCTTAACTCATCTACAAAAAGTTTAGTAAAACAAGCAAGCTAGCAAACAGCCCCAAATCCCACTCTTGACTCCTTTGATGACCTCAGTAGACCCCTATTCCCCCCCCCCCCCCCCCCACCACAGAATATGTTACATGCTTGACATTGAAAAGTTGAAAAGTTTTCCTGACATCCTAGTTTCTACTACCTATCAATGGACAGGAACTGGAAGGGCCTCTGTCCTGACTATGATGTGAATCAACTTAACATGGCTGCTTCTCTCTCCTCTATCAATCAACCTTTTGCTTTTCCATAGTCAGTGGGGAGCCAATGTGGTGTCATGGTTAAGACGTTAGGCTAGGATGGGAGAGATCTTGTTCAAGTCCACCAAAACCTGTTTGACTTTGTCACATTGCTCAACCCAACCTTCCTTGCAGGGTGATTCCTTTGGGTGGAAACAAGGGGAAAGAAAGTGCTAGGCACACTGCCTCAAATTCTTGTAGGCCAACTACAATATAACTCTAACAAAGTGGGTTACAGGCAAAACATCATCGATTAGAAGATCACTGCATATATTATGTATGTTTGAGTGGCACAGTTCAATATTAGGGACTTGACTTGGGACACATTTTCAAAAAGGGGTTGATTGCAATTGCTGTAATTATTCCAACTTGGGGAAAAGTCAAGTTAGCATATTGTTGTTATTAGCCAAGCCACTATCTCCACGCACACCCTTTCTTCTCCATTAATGCAAGCATTTCTGGACTCCTATGTCTTCTGATTAAAAAGTAATGGTCCTTAATAACAACATTCCTTCTCCTCCTCAGGTGGAAAGTGTAGAAAACTTTAGCTTTAAGGCACTACAGCAAAAATAAAGAACTTTGGAATCACATCAACCCACGAAAGGACAGCTAGGTGTTTCCTCTCCTTCCTTCTTTACATACTGTCTCGCCAAGATAGTCCTGTTTTGTCTTTGTCCTTGCCAAATACCCCTTTGAATGTTCACCCCAAATTTAACTGCATCCCACTTATGCTCTTCCCACACTGTTCTGACCTCGATTTTACTGCTGTGCAAGATGAAACCACCCACTAGGCTTTCATTATTATGACAAATCGTTATAGATTAGAAAGAAAGGAAATTCTGAGGGCTTCAAACTGCAACCTGTTGCGCTGTGCAGGAGGCATAAGCCTTTCCTAATAAGGTGATATTAGAAATTCTCTTGCATGTATAAAGCCCAGTCTTTTGATGCCATGAAAAGCTTTTGAGGCCCAGAAAACCATTGGAAACCTGTCAGTTTTAGCCCCTGAAGTTGGGGCTTCAGTTTGGGAAAAGTCAAAGGAGATAGGAGGTGCTGAGGAACTATGAAAAATGTAATTAATTTCCGGATTCAGTTTTTGAGGAGCTCTTCTATAATTTGATGTGTTTGGGGCAGAGGAACAGCCCTCTGGCCTATGATTACTGCATCATGACCATTCTTGGGAGAGAATGTGTTGTTTGCATTTTTTGCTGTTTGCTGTTTCATTTATGAAGTAGATCATACCAGTCCATTCAATGATGTTCTGTATCTTTGGCCCTCATCTCAATGAAACAAAGAGGGTTTGGCATTATCAGTTTTGAGATGCAGTATGATATCCACAACTTCATGATTTCCTTAGAAAGAAAAGGAAAGGCTAATCTCTCTCAGTTGGCCATGATGACCATGACTATCTGGAAAGGTGAGATGTTCAGATGACTGAAATGGGTAAGATCTCTTTCTTTTTTCAATAAGCACAAGTTGGAAGGACCAATCCATATTATCTGAAAGCCGTAGTTTCCAAAGCAGAATCATAAAGATAATATGGTCCTAATCCTGATCTTAATGAAAGCCACATTGATTTCAGTGACAACTCTTGCAAATCCTTCATCTTTTTCTTATCACCTGTGCTTAGGGATCTTCTAAATACATGCCAACAGAGGGAGTTTGACTCCATGTTCAATTACTCTGGGTCTTGAGCCCTTCAAAGCCTGGTGGATTCTTACTTCTTGTTGGGGAGTACGCCCTAGGCCCTGAACTTTTCTTGCAATAGGATTCAGTCATTCTTCTCCAGACTTAGGAACTTTGATTCACTTCTCAATCTCCCTTATTCATTACATTTTCACATGAATGGGTGGACTCAATGGAACACTTGCAAATATGATGAGATCTTGCCATGTGCCTTCTTTTGATGTTTGTCCCAAGGATGCTCAAAATCTCCTTATATATAGTCTGCTTTGTTCTTCTCCAACCAAATCAGTTACTTTCTTTGTCTCTCCTCCTATCCTAGTCCCCACCCACCTCCAGTGGTGGAAAGCTACTGTCTTGATGGAAGGAAGTGGTCAATTACAGCACCCTTCAGGTCTCATGGAGGAATCTGACCTCTCGAAGAGAAATAAAGTTTACATAAAGCATATGCACCAAATTATGTTAATATACTGGAGCATCTGCTGGTCTCTTTTGGATTCCCCCCCCCCTCCCCCCCCCTCCCCCCCC